CCTATTCACTCGCCGTGCTCAGGCATACTGTGCAAAACATGTGCCCGAGCTGCTTGCTGGAGCAGGTCACCTCCAGGACTGTGGTGTCCCTAAGAGAGAAGAGAGCGACTGGAGAGTATCTATGGGTGTGAGCACATTCATGGAGGATGAAACAGCACTGTACATATCCCAGAAACCAATCATGCTTGTTGGATGGTCACAGATGGAGACTCAGTTCATGATTAAATTGAGTCTAATGTCAACATAACCATGACTTTTCTATGTGGCATCTTCCTGTGGCTAAAGCCATTGCCTCTTCTTGAACCTTCTAACAATAAACATATTTACAAACAAATGCTAAAATTAGGAGAATCTTCCTGGAGGTCTCTGGGCGAGCTTCCCTGAAGTACAGCTCAGGGAAATGGGGAATGAGTCTTGATGGACCTTCTTGAACGAGAATAGTGAAAAGAGGGAGAGGAGTGCTGCACAGAGAGGGCCATAAATGGCAAACATCAGATGAAGCACAGTAGGGCTGTAGGAAGGCCAAACTGTCTTTCTCTTGAAGGCAAAGGGAACAAATGTACTATCTGAGCTGTCAGATTTTGACCATATTCTAAAGGCTTTGCATGGAAAGTGAAAATATATCTTTTAAAATTCATTTTTAATTAAAAAAACCCCATAAATTGTGACACTTACCTTTCCAACCACTTCCACTGGAGAAACCTGTCGAAGTACATGCTGTTTAGGTATTCTTGGAATGGTTCTCCACTGAGGTGGTCAAGGACAGATCTATCTCAGATGAAAAGGATATATAAGTATTTTATAATCCTGAACTTGGAGTAAAAGAGAAACAAAACAAGAGGAGAAAGTCCAGACATCTTCTATGGTAGGAACATTTTACTTCTACCTTATTTTGTACTTTATTTTTCTTGTGTTCTCAATCTAGGAACAAAGTAATGATGTGTTTGGTGGCTTTCATATCAGAAGGTCTTATACAAGCTGAATAGTAATATGTACTGGTTATGCTTGCTGAAAATTAACAGGGTGTCTCCCACTGGCTTCAACGGACATTTACAAAGTTACTGTTAGCCACTAGACAACAAGTATCTTTGCTTCTGTTAGTAAATTAAGACTGGCTTAACACAACACCATCAGGAACTGAGCTCCTAAACTTTGAGAGATGTTTACAACTGGATTGAAATTTCTGGCTGAAGCCCATTTCTGTCAAAAAGTGACCATCAGAGGTGTTATTTTGAGAAAAAAAATTAAAATCAACTTCAATTCCTGCTATACAGAAGTAATCACTGTCAAAGGGCTTTTCCTAACAGCTAAGTGCTTTGTAGAGTGAAACAGAGGAAAGAAAGTCTGAACAGGGATGTCAATTTGTTTCTGGATCAGGAACAGAATTTTGGGGCTCACACAGCGAAGTCTTTTGCATAATCAAAGGAATAAAAAGGCAAGTCTGCAAATGTCAGAAACAAGTATGTTGCTTGTGACAGGAAACAAGCAGCCAGAGACCAACAGACATCCCGCAAGGAAGGCCAAGGGTTCAGAGCTACAGAAAGATGGGCTGAGCTGAGGGAGCTGCCCGAAATGAAGGTGGTCACGCTGTTTAACAGGGGGTTGTTGACCTGCTGGTCTTGGTTCTTGCCTTGCTTGAGGCTACTGCATTCACCTCTGCTGGCAGCATCAGCAGGGACAAAACTTGGATTTGAGTGAAAAATGCCCACAATAAATGAGTATTTTTGTCTTGGTGTTTACAGACACTTTTGTGTCTGTGTCTAGGCGTATACAGGCACATTCTGAGATTTTGCTGGAGGAGGAAATCCTCTCTGAAGGACTAGTCTGGTTTGGGAATGGATAGTCTATGTCTTACCCTGGGGCAGTTCTAGACCTGACAAAAAATTCAACCATGAATAACGTTTCTCCTTAGTTTAGTTCCTCCCTGTTCATGAGCTACTATTCATAAGTTTTTAAAATTTCTCAGCTGTTTGTATTTTATTTTGGTAGTAATATTTGTACCATCAATTTGGAACACGCAGGTAATTGCACATATTCAGTATTCAGAAGTCAAATTGTTGTTGTCTTCATTAGCTTTGATTTGACACAGATCATACATTTCCCCTAAGTGGATTCAAGGTTACGATAGAAAATAAAAAGTCTTAATGAGCTTTAACAAATGTTTAAATTCAAAGCCAAAATTACAGGGGAAATTGGAGGGGGGGGCAAAAGCAGATAGTCAAAATATTATAGGTCAAAGTAGAAGTTAGTTACACATGCATTTCTCCCGCAGATTGATCTTATCTATGAAGACATGTCTGAAACTCATCCCTGTTCCTGCTCCTCCAGGATAGCAAGCTTCACATTTGTATGTATGCCTCCCTTTTTCGGTCTGACTGTGAACTCTTCCAAAATTAACATTATTCAGTACATTTAGTAAATACCAACAGCAAGTTTTTAAAACTTCCTTTTGACCCCATTTCAGTCCATGTGAAATGATCAGCATATTTATTAACAAGGTCTCAAACCTGGCTCATTTACCCGTTTCAGTTGAGCTGAAGGAATGGCTGTCGGTGAATACGAGCCTGAATTACGCGGTGTCCAACTCGAGCCTATTCCATTCAGTTAATTAAAAGCTGCACGTATTTTAAAGAACAATAGCTGCCTTTCACCACTTGTTTGCTTTTTAGTTCCCCTCTTTGGCAACAACAAAGTGCATTCTAGAGGGAACTGTCAGCTTTCAAACCGATTTGAGAACTGGAAACAGGCATCAGTGGGGTTTGTGTTGAGCACAGCTCTGCCTTTGTCATTGGGACTGGCACACACAACTGGTGTGAGTTACATGAGCATCTCTCCATGACACCAGGCCAACGCAAGGAAACTGGTTATGTTATAAGAGAAGGCCAGAAATAACCCACATCTCCTACCAATGCAAAGAATAACTGAAAACAGAAAAGGTCAATGAAATGAATCAAAACAATGAATGACAGCGGAGCGAATTTTACAAATCCCCATTACATCACCCAGGGAAAACAAACCGTGCTCAGCCAGAAACCACATGGGCCAGCTTGCGATGATCCCTCCTTTTCATATTTTTATTGGTTTATGATCTACTGGCGTGAACGTACTCGGGTCAGTGTTTGCAAATGCAGATTGCATACCTGGAGCTTTAGCGCATAATAGTACAAATCGCCTCGTCGCTACAAAAACTGATAAGCCTTTTCCCAGACAAAGGATGAAATAATGCACATTCGTTTGAGCGCCACAGACAGACAGAAAGCATTAAAAAAGCCCCATTCTCCTGGTGAAGATTTTCTGGAAAAGCCATGCAGAGCAAGTTTGCACATTCCTCTGTCTAAATGGACTGTATAGCCACTTAATTTTTATTCACTTTGAAACAGAGATGTTTTCTTTGGATACATTATCATCGTAGCTCTTTTCACACAGCATGAAATCCATGGCTGGTTTACTTGGCTAGAACACTCTGTCAAATACCTGAAACACTAAGTGCCTGTGTGTAGTGTATATAATGGCATGGAAATATTTCTTATATTTTGTTCAGATGAAATGACTTCACCCCTTGTCAGCAATGCCTCTAGGATTGTGAACACAAGCCGAAGAGCCGCGCTTCGGGTTCAAATTGAAATGTCTCTACCTGACACATTCCTTCCAAGCTGCTGGCTGCAGCCCTGCCATCTTTGGGTATCGAGTTATACTTACTTTGTACAGTGAGAGAATAGCTCTTTGCAGGGGCTGTTTTCGAGTTTCTCCTCTGTCTGTTGGATAAGATCTTGACTGACTTCAGGAACGTAGGCTGGAGACTGGAGAGAGAAGAGAAGGGCACATTATCTCTGTGACGAGGTGCAGGTTTCTCCTCTCTTAACGTGTAAAAGACACATTCATTATTTATGCCCTGAGCTGCTTCCATTCAATTCCAGCGGTTGTGTAAAACCAAAGGAGCTTTACGTCAAACAGCAGTAAAATAGGATACCGTGGTAACTCGCTCCACATTCCACTCTATCCTCACACTGCTTTTTTGCCTTCTCCTGTACCTTCACCTCCTTGCCCAGCCTCATGAATATGCAGGATCCATTCCTTGCCAATTCTTTGAACTGCTCCCTTGCATCCCATGAAAAATGTGCTGGCCTGAACTGTGTACAGGCCATTCTCTTAAACAAAAGAGAATTTGCCCGGTGTTTTCACTTCATTGATGATTCATTGTGCTGTCTGAAAAATCCATCTCTGTCTTTTTTCTTTTTTTTCTTTTTTTACCAGCAAAGGAAAACAAGAGCAGAGCATTGGTATTTATTGATTTACATATAAATAATACAAACAGATGCTCGCATAAGTGTCTGGACACCTTAATTCATCATTAGAAGGACAAAAATAATCCAGCAGTTTTAAAATAATAATATCAACAAGAAACTCTGCCAATCAAGCACATAAACTCTTTTTATCCTCTCTTCCATTTAGAGAGAATGTACATTTGGGCCCTTCAAAAAGCCCTTACCAAAGAGGGGTCTTTTGCAGTAAGCCTTGATGGTTAACCAGGTTAGGACCTTTGGGACTAATTATTTATAAACACAGTTTTTGGGCAGTTCACATTCTTACTCATTGACAGTATACTGTAATTATATAAAAAAGTGTATATGCACGTGTGTGTGTGTTATATACACTTATTTGAAGACATTTCTCCCATTCACATGAAATCCCCTTTATATAACCAATCGGATTTGGGTATTTTTAATAAATCCAGCCAGAGATAACAAAATCCTCTTTCCTTGTAGAAGCCTTAACACTTGGTAAGGTTCCCCATCCATGGCCACGACCACCAGATGTGTTGAGTGGGTGGGTCACAGAGCATCATCACTCATTCCTGGCCAGATGTTCTCATTACCCTTAGTTGGGGGATATCTTGGCAAGCAGTAAAATGCATTGCAAGCAGAGTTCAAAAACACTGGGAATGAGGATGGAGTAATCACAGAATTGTAGTGGTTGGAAAAGACCTTTGAGATCATGGAGTCCAACCATGAACCTAACACTACCAATGTCACCTCTAAACCATGTCTCTAAGCACCTCATCTACCCGTCTTCTAAATCCCACCAGGGAAGGTGACTCCACCACTTCCCTGGGCAGCCTGTTCCAATGCCTGAAAGGGGCAGAGGTGGAGCCAGACAAAATCTCCAGCATGGTGAACATTGAAATAAGTCTTTGATCTTTTCCTTCCCACTGCTGAAATGTGAATATGATTCCGGTTATGACCAGGAAAAAGTAAGTTTGTTCCACTTGAATGTTTTTAAATAGGAATGTGGTTTACAGAACTGTCTGTGCATGCTGCGTAATGCATTCTCACTATTCAACCTTGACTGACAATCTGCAGAATGTGCTGGATATCTTTGACCTTACTGAAATATTTCCTAATTTTCTCTATATATTCCTCCATTTCCTCAGCATAAGATATTTAGGGAACACCGACTGTTAATTGCAGACTGAATATATTACTAATAATTAAAAAGTCTCACTGTTTCTTGAGAGGTAGATCAGCCCCCACATTATCATCTAAAAGATGAAGAGACTGAGACAAAGCCAGGTTTTCTCACCTGGATTGGCCATTGAGTTTGACAGGAACTGAGAACTGTAGAACAAGTCTCAGTAAATCTCAGTAAATCAGACAACTTATAGAAATTCCTAACTGTAGATGCCCATGACTAAATCTAAATCCCAGCTGTAGTTCAAGAGAGTAAGTAGAGGCAAGAGTGAAGCAGTGAAAGAACTAGGAAAAAACCTCAAAAGTCCTATTTTCCAATCTTACAGCTGCTGCATTAAATTCATGGGGTGGGGGGAGAAAAAAACCCTAAACTTTTAAAGGAATATCCAGATAGGAACCAAAGCCTAACAGTATCAAGGGAAGCCTAATCCTTTGCATACTCAATGGGGTGTGCTACACAAGCTCACCAGCAACCCAAAGCTTGTACATGGCTGCGTGAGCCCAATGCTCTGAGACCTGGTTATCTTGCACATCTCTCTGATTTACAGGGTACAGAAACACCACTGAACTCAGTAGTCAATGTACTGCTGTGAATCAGGAGTGTCTTTTCTGAGGTGAATGGAGCTACGCTTAAGTAAAATTGATACTGAGGTCTCTAATTGACATTGCTACTAATTAAATCTAGGATTTGTTCAACATTTATAAGCCAAAATTGGGATCCAAAAGCTAAGTACTCAACCTCATCATTAGACATTTAGACCAAGTGACCTGATTCTTGCTCAGGCCAGGCAACTTCATTTCCCAATAAGAGGTAAGCTGCCTTGAGGTTAGTGTTGAAGATCATGCACGTGATGCATTATTATAGTAATCATTCCATCCAATTTTGTCTGAGATCAAAATGCATTTAAAAATAAATTATAAGCATCAGTTAAATCTTTT